GCTAACTGCCAGATCTCTCCTTGTAAAGATACATTCTCCCCTTGGTAATCTGAGCAGTGAGACTCTGCCACTGGGCAAATACTCTGTTCCCCAAGCATCTCTCACCCCATGGTTTTGGCAGCCATTGCTGATCCTTGACTGAATCAAGTGTTACCTGGGGGAGAGGACAGATTTTATTTGAAATGAAATAGGAAGTATCTAAAGAGTTTTGATCAGGAGGACAGAACCTAATTTATATTCTTAAAAGATCATTTCAGGAGGAGGAGGTGGATGGACAGAAAAAAAAAATGCAGAGAAGAGGCTGAAGAAGAACAGTAGATGCTTAGAAGGCTACAATTTTCAGGGAAGAGATGGTGGCTTGGCCTGAGATGGTAGTGTTACCCAACTCACTTTGGCTGCTTACTGCTTGAAAGCCAATACTGGAGAGACAGGTGTTGGTAGGAAAGGAAAAGTTGCTTTATTCAGGAGGCCAGCAACCTGGGGAGGAGGTGAACTTATAGAGAAAAGCCAACTCGCAATTGCCAATCAGGGGACAAGAACTTTTAAAGGGGAGTCTCTGGGGTGTATATGCAGAGGAAGGGGGCTACATGCAGAACAGCACAGTCAGATCTGACAATTGTCTGTGGTGGTCTGATCAGTGTCATCTTGATTGTTTTAAGCGCAGTTAATCTTTAGTTCCAGGACTGGGTTTTTCCCATTTCTTTGAGGACAGTTCTTGAAATTGTGCAAGATGGATCAGCTTGTCATGGCTACAGTCTGGTTATCATGTAGGTAACTTCTTCCACCTGGTGGGGGTTCCAGTATCTGCAAAACAGCTCCAAAAATATAGCTCAGAATACTAACTATAGCCCTTGAGGAGGAACTAAAGGTTCTTGAGTGTGTTTAATGATGAAATTGTTATTGTTTTGTCCTGTTTGACTGCTTTTCTTTGCTTCTTCGTTCTTCATTTTTTTCTGGTTAAATTTATTCTTTGGCTAAAGTTTTTGTACAGACAAAAAGCAGGCAGAGGAGATGGTGGGGAGTCTGTCCTAAGAAGACCCTGTAGTGTCTTCCTCCATCACAGTAGCAGTGGGATGGAAAGGAGTGATGAGATTCAGGATGTATTGTGATGGTAGGGCTCACTTATTCAGTTGCTATAGGAGTGGAATTAGATTGTATGGAAAAAAGGGATGTTAAAAATAATACTTAGAGGAAATTAAGGAGGACTAAATGCAATGTGGGATCCTGGAGAAGATTCTGACCTGGAAAAAGAACACTAGTGGAAAACTGGTGAGATTCAGATAAGGTTTGTAGCATTATTGGTTAACAGCATTATATTATTGTTAATTTCCTGACAAATTATTGTAGTACGGTTATGAAAGAAGTTGATGTTGGTGAAAGATGGGTGAAGGATATATGGGAATTCTGTACCGTTTTTGGCAACTTTCCTGTAAGTCTGAAATGATTTCAAAATAACAAGTTTAATGAAAACATTTAAATGAAGTTAATCTTCCCTTCATAATAATCCTCGCTCCTAGATTTGTTGACTAATCAACTGGCTCATTGATGGTGCCATTGATTTAGAGAGGGAAGACGTGTAATGGTCGAGGAGGAGTTCTGGGTTTGGACATACCAAAGATGTCTGACACTCAGGTGGAGCTGTGGCCTTGAAAGTTGGAAGACATGACAATCATGGAAGAGTTTGGGGCTGGAAACCTAGATTTGGAAGTCATTGGTGTAGAGATAGCATTTGAAGCCATGTGACTGGATGGACTCAGCTAGGAGGGGAGAAAGGATGGAGAAAGGAAGAAGTCTGAGAACTGAGTCCCAAGGCCCTCCATCAGAGCTCAGACAAAGCAGGAAGACCCCGTAAAGGAGATGAGGGGGAGTGATGGCAAATGTAGGAGAAAACCCAGGAGAGTCAGGTGTCCAGGAAGCCAAGAAGGAAAGTGCTTCAAGAAGACAGTGTTCAATGTGTCTCATGCTGCTGAGAAATGCAGGACCGTAAGGACTGAGGTTTGGCCACGGTAGATGGCCTTGACAAGATGATGGGAGATGAAGTAGAAACCTCGGGTAGGGAAAAACCTTTAGAGAAGCTTTGCTGCCAAGGGAGCAGAGAGAAGCAATAATAGTGGAAGAGGAAAGTAGAGGCAAGGAAGTTTTTTTTTTTAAGATAGAAAATATATTAAGTTGGGGAGGGTATAGCTCAATGGTAAAGCTTATGCCTAGCATGTTCAAGGTCCTGGGTTCAATCCTCAGTACCGCCATTAAAATAAATAAACCTGATTGCCTCCTCCCCTCCAAAAAAAGGCATTAAAAAAATGAAATGAAATTCAAATGTCCTTCCTACAGTGAATAGATAAATAGATGGACACACGCTCATAACTTGGAATAGTACTGAGTGTTAAGAAGGAAAGAACTACTGGAGGGAGGGTATAGCTCATGGTAGAGTGCGTGCTTAGCATGCACAAGGTCCTGGGTTCCATCCCCAGTACCTCCATTAAAAAAAAAATAACAACAATTTTAAAAAGAAGGAAAAACAACTGATATGCACAGCAGAAAAGAACCAGTCTTCCATGCATTATGCTACGTGTAAGAAGCCATATTGAAAAGGCTCTGTACTGTATGATATCACTTACAGTTGACCCATAAACAACACGAGTCTGAACTGCACAGGTTCACTCATATGTGAATTGTTTTCGAGAGTAACAGCTGCAGTATTGAACCATCCAGTTGGTTGAATCCCTGGATGTGGAACCGTGGGTGTGGAGGAACCACGTGCACTCAGATTTTCAACTGCATGTACTGTCCAAGCTCCTAACCAACCTTGAGCATTGTTCAAGGTCAACTATATTTGACGTTCTGGAAAAGGCAAAACTACAAGGACAGAGGGAAAGAAAGCAGAGCATTAGTTTCCAAGAGCTGGAAGTGGGGGAAGCAGTTGACTACAAAGGGAAGGAGGGAACTTTGAAAGAGGGACAGATGTGTTTTTTATTCTTATTGTAGTGGCAGTTACCTGACTCTATACATGGCCAAAATTCATAGAGGTGTACACTATTAAGGGTAAATTTTATTGCATGTAAATTAAACCTCAATAAACTTGACAGAACAAAACAAGTGGCTTCCCCAAATACTCACTAATTACAAAGGGAAAACAGTAATAACTCCAATGGAGAAACCTAGTAGATGCTACCCTAACCAAATGATCAAAATTAACATCACTCGTGATAAGATATATCAGAATCTTAAGATATATCAGAATCTTATGCCTCCAGTTTGATGTGATGGGAAGAGAACTTCACCTCCCATTTTCCCTCTTCCCCCCAAAAACCTCTGTAATCTCAATCTAATCAATATAAAACACCAAAGAAGTAAGTCAGAGAAAGACAAATATCATATAATATCATTTATATGTGGAATATAAAAAAATGACACAAATGAACTTATTCACAACACAAAAACAATCACAGACATAGAAAACAAATTAATGGCTACCAGGGAAAGGAGGGGAAGTGGATGAATAAATCGAGAATTCAGGATTTGCAGATGCTAACTACTATATATAAAATAGATAAACAACAAGGTCCTACTGTATAGCACAGTATTCAGTACCTTGTAATAGCCTCTAATGAAAAAGAATATGAAAAGGAATAAATATAAATATATAATTGAATCACTATGCCGTACACCAGAAATTAACACAACAGTCAGTGTAAACTGCCTACACTTCAATAAAAAATAATAATAAATAAAAAACAAACAAAAATATAAAAGACCAAATAAATGTAAATTGAGGAGCAGTACAGAATAACTGACCAGTAATCTTCAAAATGTTGAGGTCACTGAAGACAAGGAAAAAGTAAGAAATGACTGCAGAATTGCAGGGGACTAAAAGGGCATGACAGTTAAATGCCATATGGAATCCTGGATTCGATCCTGAAATGGAGAAAGGACATGAATGGAAAAAAACCGAGGCAATCTGAGCATCATGTAATCAATAGTATTGTACCAATGTCAGTTTCCTCATCAGTTCCTTCATTTTAACAAACAAACCACAACAATCTAAGTTGTTAACATGAGTGGGAAACTGGGAGAAGGATATCACGAACTCTCTGTTATCTTTCAACTGTTTTGTGAGTCTGAAAATATTTCCAAATTAAAACAAAATGATTTTATTATAGCCCAGGAATGACAGGAATGATACTGAGGAATGGGGAACCATCTGTGTTAGTTTCCCATTGCTGCTGTAACAAACTCCCACAAACTTCGTGGCTTAAAACCACATGCATTTATTATGATATAGTTCTGGAGGTGAGAATTCTAAAATGGGTCCACAGGGCTATGTTCCTTCTGGATGCTCTAGGAGAGAATTCATTTCCTTGCCTTCTTCAGCTCCTAGAAGCCACTTACATTCCCTGGCTCATGGTCCCTTCCTCCATCTTCAAAGTCAGCAGTGTAGCATCTTCTCTCCGCTCTGACCTCTGCTTCTGTCCTCACATCATCTATGAATCTGACCTTCCTGCCTCCCTCTTATAAGGACCCTTGTGTTACAATGGGCACATCCAGATCATCTGGGATAGTCTCCCTAACTCAAAATTAATTTAATCAAATCCATAAAGTCCTTTTTGCTACATAAAATATCCAAAAGTTCCAGGGATTAGGACGTGGACATCTTTGCAGGGGGCAGGGGAAGGCATAATTCTGCCTCTCATACAAATGACACAGGAGAATTAGGAGTGATGACTGGAGCAGAGTCTGCAGGTAGAACAGGAAAAAGGGACCCCAGACACAAAGCAAGACGTTGGTCTTAGGTCAGGTGGGATGGATGAAAAGCAGAGCATCTGGGCAGCTGACAGAATGAGCTGTGGGGAAATAAAGTGTTCTGGTAGCTTCTGTGTTTTCAGGGGAATGAGGTGTGAGTGGACCTGCTGACCGAATGAGGGTGAGGAGGGCTTGGGTATTGTGGGGGTTTGAGGAGAAGGAAGATGGGTAACAGCCATCTTGAGGGAGCTGAGGGTACAATGACGAGGAACCTGGAGCAGGGTGGCAGGGAGGGGTCCAGCCCCCCTCAGGGCCCCCTGGGAAGGCACGAAGTAAGTGAGAAGATTTACTAGGGTGAAGATTTGGCCCCAGTAGTGCCCTGGAGGGGGTCATAGGCAAAGGAGGTAAAGGCATGCACAAGAGAGTGACTTTATTGGTGGACCATGAAACAGTGGGAACCATGACAGAGAACCGGTGCAGAATTTCTTTGGGGGGACAACAGAAATGTTCTAAAACTGATTGTGGTGATGGATGCACAAGTCTTATGAATAGAGAAGAAGTCATTGTGTCACACACTTTATTTTTTTAAATTGAAGTATAGTTGATTTACAATGTTGTGTTAATTTCTGTTGTACAGCATAGTGATTCAGTTATGTACTTTTTCAGTTATCTTCTTTTTCGTTACAGGTTATTACCAGGTATTGACTATAGTTCCTTGTGCTCTACAGTAGGACCTTGTAGTTTATCTATTCTGTATCGAGTGGTGTGTATCTTCTCATATCAAATTCCTAATTTATCCCTTAACCCCCACCCTTTCCCCTTTGGTAACCATGAGTTTGTTTTCTATGTCTGTGTCTGTTTCTGTTTGGTACATAAGCTCATTTGTGTCATTTTTTTAAAGATTCCACATGTAAGTGATATCATATGATATTTGTCTTTGTCTGACTTTCTTCACTAAGTATGATCATCTCTAAGTCAATCTATGTTACTGCAAATGGCATTATTTCATTCTTTTGTGTCATATACTTTAAATGGGTAAATTTATGGTATATGAATTGGAGCTCAATAAAACTTAAGAAAAGGAAGGAAGGAAGGAAAGAAAAAAGGAAAGAAGGAGAGAAAGAAGGAAGAGACTGGGGTAGGGCGAAGGGCAGGATGGATAGAGATGATGGGCTCAGAGTACCGAGGGCCATGTTCGGATTATCTATTATTGTGGTGTGTGTAACAAACCACCCAAAGACTGGGTGACTGAAAACAACAAAGATCATTTATTTAGCCCCCAAGCCTACGATCTGGCAGGGCTTGGAGGGGGAAGGCTTATCTCTGCTCCAGAAGCATCGGGGCAGGTAGCCCGCTGGGTGGGAGGACGTTCTTCTAAGACTGCTCAGTCACGTGACTGCCGGCCAGTGCTGGTAATCAGCTGTGAGTCCAGCCAGGACCCGGGAACCTAGGGTCCTCTCCATGTAGGCTTTGCACAAGTGTCCCAAGGAAAAGGGTGGGGTGGAAAGTTGCCCTTTAGGCTGTAACCTCAGAAATCACACAGTGTTCCTTATGAGGTGGTCTATTAGTTGAAAGACTCACCAAAAGCTGGGGACAAAGACTCCACAAGATAGGGTGAGGTTTGGACTATACTGTAGCACAAAAACTATGGTCCTTTTAGGAAAAGACAATCCATTACAGGCCAGGTTTTGGCAGAATCATCTATGGGGCTATTAAAATGACTAAAAGTCATGACAGTAGTTTTAAAGGGATGGATGTGGAGCCAGAATCTAAAATCTTCTACGGGAGAGTGGGAGTGTCCAGAAGGGGAAGGGATGAGTTCTTTAGGGGAGGCTGGGAAGAGGTGTCCATGGATAACTTGAGCTTCAAAGGGGCTGAGAGAGGGAGAGTTGTCTGGAAAGGGCAAAAAGGAACACCCACCGCCAGACTCAGTGGTAGGAGGGTGTAAGAGACAGGCGGCAGGTGCAGGGAGGAGGAGGGGTCAGTTCACACAGAAGTTCAGAAACCCACAAAGAGGGGTCTCTGTAGGTTCTGAGAATGAGAAAATAGAGAAGACAGAGGAGAAAGGGGGCTGACCAGAGAGGGAAGGAGAAAGACCTTTAGTGTCTCTCTTCACTCCTCCAGCAGAGGGCGCCTAGGGCCTCATTCCCTGGAGTCCGGGTGACCAATCCGCACCAGTTCCCCTCAAGCGCATCCGAAGGGGCTATTTTTAAGCGGTGTCATAGGACACCGGTGGCTGGAAGGCCATCGTCTGTCTGTCCTTCGGCCCCTTTGAGTGACCCTGCGGCATCTCTCCAGCCCACCCCCCACCTGTTCCTGGTAGGCCCGGTCTCCTTTTGCACTATTCAGGGCTACAGCCCAGGCCTTGCTGGGTCAGAATGTCTTCAGGTGGAGATCCCGGGGGAGACCCGAGCGAGGGGACCCGGTGTGTGTGTGTTGGGGTGAGGGGTCACATGCTTGTGATCGCAGCTGCTGGAGCGTCCCTAGGATGGGGTCACCACCAGGATGTGGCAGAATCAGCCTAGAATGATGGACAGAGAGAGATTCAGAGATAGGACTCCGGAGACCCTGAGTCCTCCAGAGGCCCTGAGACAGAGACTTGCAGTAATTCAGAGATACAGGGAAAGAAAGACCCAAAGGGCTGAATGATAATGAGAGAAAAGAGACCCAGAGAAGAGACAGAGTCCAAGGGAGACAAGAGATAAACAGACAGAGATCCAAGAATCAAAACGAAGACGGAGATTCCGAGAGACCAAGACACAGAGACTGACAGGAATCCCCAGACACAGGTGACCCTAGAACGGCAAAACTCAGAGATAAATGACCCGTTGAGATACTCAGAGATACATTCCTGAGGTCAGAAATACAGAAGGACCCCAAAGCGGAGACATAGCTAGGTGCGGAGGCATGTAAGAGGAGAGAGACAGAGAGACAGAAAGAGATGGAAATTTGTGACTGCAACAGAGGGACTCAGATACTCATTAAAAAAAATAGACGAGAGACACATGGAAATCCGGAGAGACGCAGGACAGAGATTGCAGGCG